AACAACCACAGGTGCATGCATAAGAAAAATTGGTACCGGCTCCTCATATGATCAGATAAAAGATCAGCACTACATTTACCTGCTGCCACCTCTGCTGGAAACTGCTGTCTCGCAACGTGTACACATATTTTTTGATTTGTTCAAGCAGCCCATGATAGAGAACACTGGCTGAGCTGTAGTTTCCCAGCAAGGCATATTCACGAGCCAGTTTCAGATTCTCACTAATTTCCCGTAGACTCATACTGCTGTGGAAACAGACAACAGGTTCACAAAAAATTATAACGCTGACTGGTCAAAGTGGGCATGCTGCTGACAGTGAAATAAGGAGTGTTGAATAACTACAGCGCAGACAGAGATTGAAGTTTTAAAAATCTTACCAAAAAACAAAAAGCTTGCATTCACCTGATGTAATCAGTAGAACATTTTCTCAGGACCATTTGAGGAACTACCCGTGTTCCTACTGGAAATGCAGGCAGTTTCTACATCAAGTACCATTTTTCTAACAAGGTCTAGTTTCCTGCCATTGTAAAAAATAAATTTAAATATTCAATTCAATTTTGTTTATATAGTGTCAAGTCCTAACAGCAGTCACCTCAAGGTAAAGACCCTAACAAAAATACAGAGAAACCTCAACATTCAGAGGACCGCCTTATGAGCAAGCACTTGGTGACAACCGGAGGTAAAAACTCCCTTTTAACAGAAAGAAACCTCCTGTAGGCCCAAGCAGGGGCAGTAATCTATTGAAAGTAGTTGGGGGTGATGGATAAGGAGGTAAGACAAAAGACACAGTGTGAAAACGAGTCAGAGATTAATTAAATGCAAACTAATGTATAAACAGACAGTGAAAAGAGGAGACAGGTGCCCTGTTGTGTTTCAACACAAAAACATGAAGCTACTGTAAAACTAACAAATTGTAAAGATCCACTGGTTTTAGTATTACTGCTTTCTTCTTTACTTTTTGCCTTAAATTCTTTTTTTCTGGTTATTGTTTGTTCTGATACAGATTGAGGTTTGATTTACTCCCTGAAAAATAAAATTTTTGTTTTTCCCAAAGGGCTAGAAATAGCAGGACAAAGAATGGAATAATGTCACGCAGACTTATTACCCAAACCACTGTTCATGCGGACTAAAGTGCTCATTTTGAGCCTGGAAAACACTACAGTGACCTTTTTGAAGTGGCATATTACAAGCCATAAGGTCTCTATTACGTACTAGAATCATTACACTTGTTAAACAGATATTTTATATGCATTTGCATTTTTTACTATCCAGATTATCTGGACATAAATACCTAAACTTTAATAGCTGGCCTTAAAATACCATCTTGGTGCTAGTTCCATTGTCAGATGGCCCGGGCACAACACCTCTGTTGTATACAATCTATGAAAAATACCCAAGAACATATGTAGTGCCATCTGGACACTGCTTTATATAAGAGTGATACTATATTTACGACACGTGCACAGTTTAAAACATGTTGTCACATTCAGCGAAACATACGTAGTTGACAAGTGTGACTAGCACCTCTCAGCTGAAGTTGTTTCTCCACAGATTAGACGGAGCCTCGCCCAACTATAATCTGTTAAAGGCAAAATGCGACACTCAAGTCCACACGTACAAGATGCTAACGTTTCAAAGATGAGAAGAACAGCTCCTTTGTTCGTAGGAACCTAAATGTTAGGCAAGATAACTAAACTAAACGCTAGTGTACGTTTGTACGCGGTAGTGGTGACGTTAACGACAACCGACGCATCCTTAAGTTTGAATTTCAAGCCGGCTGGCTGGCTTCTCTCACTCTGGTTCAAACTGTAAACGCATCGTCTTCGCAAAACTTGATGAACACAGTTGCTGAAACGACACTGAAACAGCTTTTGACACAAACCTGGTGTAAGTCGCATTTATGCTCAACTTTTCCTAAATGTGGCCGTGGTTCAGAGAAAGGCTGCGCACAGAATCCATCGGACTGGGAAAATAACTACACGATCTGGGGACATTTGTAGTCCAATTCATGACGGAAGTTTGTCACAGCGCACGTTGCGTATGCAAACCAGCTAGGGGCGAAAAGTTTTGAACTTCCGTTTTCGACCTTCAAAATTAAAACGTCAAACGTTATATGGACGTAAAAGCACAAAAAACTAAACGTAGAGTTCCCTGAAAAAACAATAACGTCACTACGACTACTACTCACAGTGAATTACTCGCCCTATCTCGGTCATCTTAAGTAAGGCAAAGTTTGCATAATTTTTTTAAAAGTTCCTTCTGACGAAAGGCAGCCATCAGTTATCTATTAACATAAAACATTTCTGAATATTCCTGCTGTATTTTTTAAGTTCACTCTTTAGGGGAGCAGTGGTTGGCACTGTTGCCTCAGAGCAAGAAGATCCTGGATTTGAATCTGCTAACCTGGAGTCTCTCTGTGCAGATGTGAGTAGCTGGGCTCTCTCTGTGCGTTCCTCTTCTTCCCAAAGGAATGTGATTCTAATTTGTGAATATGAGTGTGTATAGTTGTCTTTCTTTGTGTCAACCTGGTGACAGACGTGAAACCTGTGCCCTGTTGTTGCCCAATGACACCTGGGTTGGACTCTTGCCACCTTGAATTGAATACGCAGAAGAAAAATGGACGGACCTTTAATAAAGATCTTCATGTTTTGGGCGAGCACGTGTGCTTATACCAGGGTTTTAATAGTTTTGCAATTTTCATTAGTTTTTATTTTTATTTAGTTTTGACTTCAGATTTTCAATTTTACATCAGTTTTAATTAGTTTTTACCAATTGTTTGCTAGTTTAGTTTAGTTTTTATTTTTTTTGAAAATCCTTAGTTTCAGTTTAGTTTTGATTAGTTTCAGTTATAGTTTTAGTTGTGTTTGCAAAAATTAAGTGTAACAAAATCCCAGTTTCGTCATATCAGTCATTCTCTTCTGCTTATTTTTGGGTATGTTGCTATTCCAGCTACCATACCCTACACAGGTCGCCTATCTGTCGCAGGGCTAACACGCAGAGACAGACAACTCACATTTCCACCTATGGGTTCTTTAAATAAATACATACATAAAGGCAGATGAACAACCATTGATACCAGGCAACTATCCATCCATTCGCTTCCGCTTATCCTTTTCAGGGTCGTGGGGGGCGCTGGAGCCTATCCCAGCTGTCATAGGGCGAGAGGCGGGGTACACCCTGGACAGGTCGCCAGTCTGTCGCAGGGCTAACACACAGAGACAGACAACCATTCGCACTCACTTTCACTCACACATAGTGGCAATTTGGATTATCCAATTAACCTATCCCCACAAGTTGCATGTCTTTGGACGGTGGGAGGAAGCCGGAGTACCCGGAGGGAACCCACGCAAACACGGGGAGAACATGCAAACTCCACACAGAAAGACCCCGGCCTGATGGTGGAATTGAACTCAGGACCTACTTGCTGTGCGGCAACAGTGCTAACCACCGTGCTACCCTTACCAGGCAACTATAAAATGTATATCTTGGCCCCAATGAGACTATTAACTCTTGCAGCACCGGGTTTTCGTAATTTTGGTTCAAGTGAATTGATAAACTTTTTGAAGGCAATTGACTCACAGAGTTATGTAGATATCCCCGTCCTGTTGTCTCGGGATGCATCACGCTGCCTTGCCTGGGGTTAGCTTCTGTTTTCTGGCTTCTGTTTCTGGGGATGAGGGTTGAGTGTGCTCCCTTACCTTCTCAAGGTAAGGGAGCTCAAGCCTTCTTGTGCGAGCTTTTCAAGTGCACTTTAAGGTTTGTGGGATTTTTTTCCCTTTAGAAATGTCCCTCATAATTTGTCTCTTTCCACTACAAGACACTTGCTTTATCCAAAACACAGTCATATTCAAAGTAATCCCAAATCGGACTCTGGCGCTTTCTCCCGACATGATTCTGCGCGTGGACGGAGCAGCAACACAGACGACTCGACTAACGTACTGCCACCTGCTGGCATAATGAGACGGCAAGAAAAAAATCTGGAAACTAAACTTCATTTTCACCCTTGACTATTGTATGACACGCACACATCAATGAAAACTAAACACATTTTTGCTATAAATTCAGTTAATTTTAGTTAGTTTTCCTTTTTTTGTTTTTATTTTTATTTCAGTTAACGAAAAAAAATTTTCACTTCTAGTTTTCGTTAACGATAATAACCTTGGATTATACTATGATAAACTTAACTTTCAGCATTTGTATTACTGATGAAAATGTTGACAGGGAAGACCCAAATACACATGTTTGTAGTTAGTTAGAAAAAAAGGCACTTTGACTACAACTGAAAAATGAATGAATATTCCTGAATATTTACAAGAAGACAACTCAGTAGCAGGGAGCCAGCAAAGAAAAGAACAATAGGTACAGAGATACTGAAAAATAAATTACAATCAATTCACGATTTACAGATCAAAGTTGATCTATGAAGGAACAAAACACATGTAGTTTGTTTTTTATGTGGAGAACGTCATCCTGCATGACTGATTTATTGGTGGCTTAGGCTGTTGGACATTTGCACCTTAGAGAGCTCAAGGAGCTCAGTGACACCCTAATCCAGATCTGGAAAAAGATCCCCAGGACACCATCCACTGTTACATTAGGAGCATTCTCCAACAACATCATCCCCAGTGCCACTCATGGGGGAGAGCACATCATGTTTGAGACCGTTCTGCAGCTGCCATCCTACCTCAGAGCCGGGATCTGTACAAGGAAGAAGGTTCAGCATATCCACGACATCTTTCCAGCTGCTCATTTCACAAAACTATAATTTTAGAAACCAACATATTATCAAATATCATTGTCTCCATTTTGTCTTTCAACAAGAGGTTTGTATACTCCTGTTTTCCTTCATGTGCAGCTTTGCTTATTCTCTTTGGACTTGCCCCCAGGCTCCTTATTTCTATTGTTTGGATTTTGTGAATGTACTGGTAATTTCAGCAATTAAAGGCTCACTTTGAAGTCCTCCTTGCGTTTGTGTGCCTGCATTAAACACTCACTCCAGCTTTAAATATGACACAAATAGAAATTTTTATTTTTGCTTCTGTAATACCTTTTTCATATTGATCACTATGAATGAAAAAGTAAAAACAAGAACTTGAAAAATAATTGGACCAAGAATAAAAAAGTTACATAATTCACAAAGGGTTTTTTTTTCCCCCTGGGAAAAACTTGGTTAATTAAAACAAACATAACTTTTTCAGCTTTATTGAAATACACAGAAGGCCGATAAATGATCCATGTCCATCTGAGGACATGATGTTGCTGTGGTGCAGGAGTAAGAGTACCCGAGTACATGAACAACAGGAAGACCGACACACAGGTGATCGTTTAAATTAGTAAGCCCTTTTAAATTCCGTTTGCTTTGCTATATAATATTGCTTAAATTTGTTTTTCTAAATCAGCATTTATATTATATGTTTATTTACTTTGACTTATGACTAAGCTACATAAAACTGTACTTTTTGATTTTGTTGCATTTGAGTTATTTTAACTGCTTGGGCTAAATAAAGGACGTGTTATCTCATTAATTCAAACCCAATGTCATATAAGCTGTCTCGCATAATAACGTTGACGTATGACAGTTGAACACAATATAATCCATAACGAGATGAATAAAAGAGATATATTGCTGACTGGGGTAAACAACCATTTATTGAACATGTCAGTGTGGAAACACTGGGTTTTCTCCACACCCTTGCTGGGAAATCAGAAAGCTGTGCTTCATTCATGTGGCACAATGAGGGGGGACAAAAATCAAAGTAAACTGGGCTTAAACTGAATCTGACATAGCTAGAAAGATGAAAAAAAAAAAGACAAGTTATCTTCATTGCCCATCTTTTTCTTCCCCTTCAAAACTAAAAATTTATGGAAATGTCTTTAAAGAATTCAAGGTGCCAAAGCTGCTTACACAGCAGCTAATGTTGTTCCACCCCTACACGGATCTTACATTTAACTTACACCATTAGGGATGTGATCATGCCTGTAAAGGAAAGGTGGACAGTGAAACTTTAAAAAAAAAAAATAAAAAAAAATCCTGAAAATATATACAGTATATATCTATAGCTTCTCTGGCAGCATTAAACCAGTGTTAGCAGCCAGATCCAGCTCCCCACATTCCCGTTTTACAGACTCGTCCCACTCTGATGTTTCTATTCTCTCAGCAGCACCACCATGTCCTCTGAACTCAGTCCGAGAGCTCCAAAACTTTAGCTCTTCAAGAGCATTTTAGTCCGTCTCCATGGCACCACTGTGCGTCTCCTTGGACACCATGAGTCTCATCAGCTTCCCATGGAGCTTTTCAATCTTCTTCACGTCCTGGGCCTGGTCTGTCTTGTATTGTAAACACTGTAAAGATGGAGAAGACACCAAATGAAGGCAGTTACAGCATGAAAACTACAGGTTTTTACAGTTTTATAGTAGTGATTAAGTAGTCACCTAAATGATAGAGTTACATTGTTGCTTTCTTTTGGTGGTGCACACCTTTTTGTAAATCAATAATTGCTTGATACAGAGTTACATTATTTTGGCATGTGTACACGGTTCTACACTCAATGCCTTTTTAAAATAAATCTTACTATAATTATGTGACAAGAACACAATCAGCATCTTCTTAGCTCATGGATGAAATCCAAACTTCAATTAGACTGTAACTGGTCACAGAAGTCATTGTTATGCTTTGTAGCCTTGTGTAGCAGCACCACAGCTCTCCACTTGAGCAAGACCCACCATCAACAACAATATTCCAACACATTGGAGCTGGGGTTGGGTTTACAACCATGAGAGGTGAGCCTTAAGAGAGCTCAGCAACATCCAGGAACACCAGACCACCACAACTAATTAAGCCAGCACCAAGTACCCAGGGAAGACCCGCACAGACACAGGGAGAACATGCAATCTCCACAGAGAATGAACCTAGCCAGGATCCAAACCAGGGACATTTTTGCTGTAAAGTTACAGTGAAAACAACCAATTCAGGTCCCTGGCTGGTCAACCGGTGCATCTCTAGAAAACATCAACCAAACAACATGCACTATGACACAGCTGTGCTTGATGTGTTGGTTACCAAACAGCCCCACTTATATTCTCATATGAATAATACTAGACTCAAAGCAGTCTTCACCATGTATCACAACCCAAAAATTAAAGAAATTAATTCCAGTCCAAAGATCCATTAATTACTTTATACAAACTGTATGCGATGATTTACAAAGGGTCATTCCAATTACAAATTTCATGGCCCAAGTAAAGGCTTGTCTAGCCACTTTCAAGTCATTTGTTTCCACAAGCAATAATAAAATATGGCTCTCTCAAAACTTTATCTCAAAAGGATAAAAGCCTGAAATTTTCACTTGTTTTTCTTTACACAGAGCTGAATCAGGACCTGTAATTTGTGACTGAAATATATAAAAACAAATGCCAGTACTGGCTAGTTGAAAACTATAAGCAGTCCTGTAAAGTACCATATATGAGCACACATTAATAATAATACAAAATAAATACATAAATAAAAACCTTCACATTGAGAAGTACTTATAACTGAAATTATTATTTTGTTAAATATATGCATATCCTTCATTTTTCAAGACCCACGTTGTAAGCAGCATGGTCAAGAAGCACTCTCATATTTCAGATTATGCTATCTATGCGCACACACACAAACTTTTGCAGCGTTCATTCATGCAGTCAGTATATCGAATGCCTGTGGCAGTTGTGGCATTAAGATTAGGGCTGGGTTATACTTATACATCAGACTGCAAGTTATGCCATGTCGACATGGCAACTTGGCTTTGCAAGACTACTTATGTGGAATAACTTACTAAGCCATTTTTCGTAACTTTTAATTGTTTTGCTATATTTAGTTTTCAAGATCAATTCTACCTACCACTTTGAGACTTATCGCCCTGAAGAAGTCTTGTAATTAAGATTACATTTAAAACTCCTACTGGCAAGCAGGGATCAGGAAATTACAAGTTAAAAAGTATTCTACGTGTTTTATTTTGTATTATTGTGAAATACAGCTAGACACCACTCACAAGCTGTTGCTCAGTGGCTTTTGCCATGTGATATTTGTATTATTAGTGTGTGCTAAAATATGGCACTTTAAGTGCTTAATTTATTCATTTTTTATAACCAATGCAGTTAAAAAATTTTATATATATATATATATATACATACATATACATATACATACATACACACACACATATACATACACATACAGTTTGATATTTTTTCCATACAAAAAAATGTTCAAAGGCATGAAAAAAAATTTGTCATTTCTTAAAATTATAAATGTATATTTTAACTCAAAAGTACAGGTTTTAAATTTAATGTTGCTGAAACAACAAAGTAATAAAAAAATAAATCTATCTGATCGACAAATCACTCATCTTTGGAAAAGAGAGTTTATTACAGAGAAATGTCTCTTTCCAAAATAAAAGCTATACTATAGGCTTCTTCTGGGCTATATTCTCAGCAGCATATTAAACATATCAGGTCCCCATAAGGAGAATCATGTGCTAACAGCTGTCTAAATGACTCGGGTAAAGTTTGTAGCATGCTTGCTTGTTTTTTTTTCTGCTTCCACTTGTCTTTGCACTAGGATGATGTCGGCGTAAATGTGCAGTCATATTCATTGTGTTCCCATTAGTGCTGTCAGCGTTAATCTGAAATGACGTTAACGCCACAACACGGCAAATGTCCGTTAACGAGCTACCGCGGATCGCCTCGTGCGTGGGGCTGGACGGCCAACACGTTAACGAGCAAACTGCGCTAACGCACTAGTTCCCACCAATGTAATAGAGCATTGCGTGGCACATCCAACATACTGTTTTACTTTTGTCCATGACGCGCTTACCTTCAGGGTCATACGTCACATGAAAACCAAAATAGTTCCAAACGCCAGATCTGAATGAGGGTGGGGGAGGTTCAATTTGCCATGTTGGAAGGAGAGCTTAACTTCTGTCTGCTAGCTTGCCCTGCGCTCAGTGAATCTGCGCTCGACTACTCCGCCTAGGCTGCACTGTCGAGCACAGATCCACTGAGCGCTCAACACAGACAGCATCGTCAGAAGGAAAGTTGATAAAATAAATTACAAATGTTGTATTGTTCGATACATATGCGTACCGAACCGAAAGCACTGTATCGAACGGTTCAATATCAATACAAGTATCGTTGCACCCCTAATATATATTATAATATAATATAATATAAATATATATATATATATATGTGTGTGTGTGTGTCCTAAAGTACAGAGTATGTTTCAATCCTGTACTAAGAAATATCAAAATGAAAATTTCCAGCTTTTATCTTTAATAGTTTGAGATGTTCATGTTCAAACATTGAAATTTGCACTTTGAAATTTGAGGCAAAGTGCACAAACATGCTAGATGGAGAAGTTGAGCAGAAGGCTCACAATGATTTGAGACTGAATTAATTATATGCCATTACCTCACTTAAAGAAAAAGTGGACAAAGTGGCATGATAATCTACATACTGTCATTTTCTCCTGTGCCTAAGAACCATTTAAGCCTCTTTACCCTGATTTTATATGAATTTATGGATAAATGATTTTAAAACGAAATTAAATCTAAGAACTTTCTTAGCATTTTGACAATGGGATCTACTCTAAGTATTAAGAAAGGTTGTGAATATAGGGCTAGATGCCAATATTATAAATCTGTAGTCTTCTCTAAAGATGAGTTTACCCGCCAACCTTCCAAAAAAATTCATAGAAGTGAAGAATTTGGGATATCTGGAATATAATGCAGCCAGGCCATTAGACATTGGGTATCACTGTCAAGTAAGCCTAATATTTCTACCATAAAATGAACACGGAAAAATCCAGCGCAACACAGGAAGAAGAAAAACAGCTAAAATGGTGTATCCCCCTCCCACTGCTCACACTTTATTACACAACAAAACGTAAAATATTACAGGAGCTTTATTAAACAAAAAAAGAAAAAAAAAACCTCGCAGCTGCTAGCCTGCTTGTGTTACTCTGCTACACGTTACGATTTAGCCTCGCACAAACTAGTACCAACAGACTCAGAAAACAAAGAAAGAAGTTTCTGGCTGCTCGTCCAAAAAACAAGTTTTAAGAGGTTTCTCAAGAGAACCTCTCATATTTCACTGGCTGGTACAAACAATTCCACGTTTTTTCCTCGGTGTACTTACCACAGCATTGTCAGTCACTTTAATGCACAGGTTTCCGTCGCAGTGTCTGTATTTTAGAACCACTCTGACCTGAAAAAAAGAAATAACATAACAAAAATGTTCAGAATTTAACATGAAAAAATATCGAACCACCAGTCAGCACAGTCACGTTGCTAACGTGCCATTTAGCTAACAGGCTATCCAGTATGGTACTTATTAAATAAAGCGTTATTACCTTCATTGGGTCTGTCAGATACAGTTTTTCTGCTGCACGGGCGAACTCCTCCCACGTCTGATAGTAAGGCATTGTTTTCACAAAGCTACAATACTAACAAAAGCAGAAAACAAGTTTGAATCGGATGTTCGCGTTTGCTAACTTCGGAACACCACATCAGCAGCAACGTGAGTGCAACCAATCAGACCGAAGAGACCACGGCGCGAACCCACATCCGGTGTGCGCATTCAAAATAAAAGCACAAGACTTGAACTTACTGAAAAATCACAAAAAAAGGTAAGAGTACCGTAAATCGAGCAGTGCTCCCTTACAAGCTATTAAAAGAGACAACGAACTGAAACACTGACTTGGATAAAAATCCTAGACCTGATTAGACCTTTGATCTTTTAAGCCTGAAACTCTGATTGGGACCTGGCATTTTTGT